GGGCTCCTCGGGGGCGTCTTGGGCACTGTGAAGACGAAGCAAGCAAGTATGCTGAACATGTGCGTTTTACAACGGGAATGGGCAGATTTTTGCCGCTTGAAGGCCCTCTTGGGGCCCTCTTCGGCCATATTCAAACCATCTCGGGCCCTCTTGGGCCTCGCTGAGGCTGTCTTGTGGGCCTCTTGGGCGTCCTCGGAACCGGGAAATCATGTTCCCGGAGAGGCTTCCGGGAACATGATTTCGAACGAAGCCCTCTTGGGCCTCCCTAGGGCGTCTTGGGAGCCTCCTGGGCCGACTTTGGGGCTCCTTGGGCCGTCTCGGGGGGTTCCGTGAGCCCCACAGGCCGACCCTTTTGGGCCGTCTGGGGCCTTCTTGGGCCTCTCTTAGGCTGTGTTGGGGCTCCGCTGGGGCGTCTGGGGCACTGTGAAGACGAAGCTAGCAAGTATGCTGAAAACGTACGTTTTGCGAAGGGAATGGGCCGATTTGTGCCTCTTGAAGGCCCTCTTGGGGCCCTCTTCGGCCATCTTCAAGCATCTCGGGCCCTCTTGGGGCGCTCTTTGGCGTCTTCGGGGCCTCTTGAAGCTTTCTTGACTACTGTACGGCCCGCGTGGCCTGTCCTGGGCAATTTGGAGGCGGCCCTGGGCAGTCCCGGTGGGCGCCTCCTGGACCCGTCTCCAAGCTGTCATGGTCCGTTTTGGGGCCGTCTGGGAGCCTCTGGGGACGGCCAGGGGAGGGAACCTCGCATATACAAGGGAGGTCGCTGCCCGGGGCCCGGGGCCCGGGATCTCCCATCTCTTTCTTTTTTTTTTTCTCTCTCTCTCTCTCTCTCTCTCTCTCTCTCTCTCTCTCTCTCTCTCTCTCTCTCTATATATATATATAGAAGAAGAAGAAGAAGAGTAATAGTAATAATGATAATAATAATAATACTGATAATGATACTAATAATAATAATAGTAATAATAATAATAGTGGTAATAATAATGATGTTAATAATCATAATAATAATAAATAATATACATAAATATAATATATATATATACATCTATATACATACATACATACATACATGCATGCATGCATACATACATACATGTAATACATATTTATATATACATATATATATGTATATATACATACATACATACATACATACATACATATCTACATAAGAATCAAGATCGACCCCTTGGATACACTGCCCCCGTGTTTTTGTCCACGCTCGCGGAAAAAAAATGCACCAATTGATCAAGAAGGACCGGTTCTGTTTGTTCATGCGACCTTTCCCCCAAAACCAGTCCCCCACCCATCCCTGGCGCCCTTCCCCCCCTTGCCCCAACACCAACTCCCTATCGGCGGAGGAGGAAGAGAAGCGCTGAGGAGATAAGGCATGGGCGTCATCACGCGCAACCACACACACGAAAACATGCTGCATAACGGAATACTACGAAGAAGAACAGGAATGATGCTTCGCACTCAATATATGGCGTTGCGAATCTCAGGGGCGCGGGGGTGCCCGCACGCGCACGTACATTTACGCACACACATATACATATGTAGATACATAGACCTACGGCTACAGAAGAGAAAATCAATATGGTAAACCAGCTTTGAAAGCGATATGGAATTATGTTACTGAATGTAATTAAGTTAATATACATACACTAACAAAATACATCCGAAACTGACCTTAACATACATCCTCATCCCGTAAGACCAGGAGTGCCAAGCTCGAAGGGCATTAGACACGACATGTCACATCGAGATGGTTATTCGTACTCTGTCTGCGCAACAGTTTGATGACCAGACAGGGCTGGGCAAGGGGCCTCGAGAACCTACAAACCCGAGGCCACAACAAGCCGAGAAAACCTTCCTGAGAAAACCTCCGGTTGACAAGATTTAAAGAAGAGGAGAGCGGTGGGGACGGCGGCGGTGTACTTGAGCCGCGGAGGCGGCGGCCGAGCGGGAAGAGGACAAGGGGTTCAGAGAACAAGTGCACCCTCATCCCTTGAAACCAGGAGTGCCAAGCTCGAAGAACATTAGATACTACATGACACATCGAGCTGTGTTTTTTCCTTTTTTTTTCATACTCTGTCTGCGCAACAGCTTGATGACCAGACCAGGTTGAACAAGGGGCCTCGGGAACCTACGAACCCGAGGCCGCAACAAGTTGAGAAAACCTCCCAGACCCGCACTGTACTCTGGAGCCGCAAACAGACTATACAGGGGTCATCCGAAGCCTGCGGCAGCCGACAGGCGTGAAAGGTAAAGAGCGTTGACCGAACGTAAGAGCCAGGCTGCACCAGCCTGTCCAAGCTTGCGAGGGCACTGAGAGGCTACAGTGGTCCAATTCACGGAATTTCCAGGGATCTTGCCAGCGCGGACGAGATGCGGACGATTCGAGAAGCAGTAGACGCCGTGCCCGTGGCAAAGGCGATTGGCGTGGGGCAAGCTTGGCGCCCACCACCCCACAAGCTGAGCCCGCTTCCGCCAGCGAGCTCTAAAAGAACACTGACCCAGCTCAAATCACGCGCCTGGGGACGCGAGCTAAGCCTACTCATTCCTGGCTCTTTCCAGGCCTAAGAGGAAAATGGATTCTCACAAATCATCGGGGCACGAAAACGCAGGCAGGCCCAAACGAGCCGTCGCGTGCTCGCAAGGGCACGGTTTCCCGTAAGATAGCGGTTGGCTTGGGCCACTGTCGGATCGGAGATACCATAGAAACACCTGGGTCGCCGAATGTTGTATAAAAACTGACAGTTGGACCACGACGAACAGGGGAAGGCGCACCAGATGCCCTTCACAAGGCCCGCCGAGATCCACCCTAAGACATGGTTTAGCACGCTACGATCAGTCAAATCGAACTCAGGACCCTTCGCACCATCAATGGCAACACCAGATTCCCCCAGCTGTTTCAAGGCACGCAACACAGAGGAGCAGCCAGAGAAAAGGTCAAGTAACATTTTGCCGTCAGGCGATTGACTCATAGCCGCGCGAAGATGCCTCTGGAGCCGTCGACGCACATCCTGCACTGCAAGTCTGTGGCTAGGAGCTCCCACGCTATGATCGGGCCTCAGGCCCCCCGCCGCCGCCGCCGCCAGGCCTCCTTCAGCTGCGGGGCGCGCGTGTCGGGCGGCTGCGGGGAGGCGCGCTCGGCCGCCAGTATCTCCAGCAAGTGGTTGGCGACGTGCAGCCCGTGCTCGCGGGCGGCGCCCGTCCGTCATGTTGCCGGCCTGCTTCAGAACGCGGGCGCGCTTCTCGCACCGGCGCGCCGATGAGTCGGCGCGCCATCTGCCCCTCCTGTCCACCTCCTCCGAGGCCCTGCGACTTCGAAGGGCATCGTCTGAAGGCCCCCGTGACTGAGCACGCGCGGATGGGGCCGACTGTTCGACAAGTCGGCCAGCCCCACTATCTGGGCGAAGTTCCTGGAGAAGGTCACTGAGTCGAACGGCCACAGGCGCCGAGTCGACGGCGATGCCTTCGCCTGGCGGAAGATGCCCTGGAGGGGCCCAAACTCCACGTTGTCGAGTAGCAAGCCCCCGTCGAACCCGTGAGTCGTCGACGCCACCGAGAGCTCCAACGGCGCTAGCAGCAGTGCCCAGAACGTGGCCCCCGCGCCAGGATGCGGAGGGACGAGCTGGCCCCCTGTGAGAGTCAGGCATTCCGCGGGGCGGGGTAGATCCTGAACATCATCGAGAGACGGAACGCCATCTCCTGCCAACCGATCGCCATCGCCGAGCCCACCATCGCACAGAACGCGAGCCAAGGAAATGGGGCGCTGCTCAGCCCAGGCGCCAGCCAGCGAAACCCCCGCAGAGCGTTCTTCGCCAAGGGGGGCAGGGTGCCACCTGGGGCCTTCAGCTCGGGGATGCGGAACTCTTCGCTGGCGATCACCTTCTCGCCCGCATCGTGGTTGAACCCGTTGAAGTATAGGTCCTCGAGGTGCCCCAGCAGCGCCACCTCGATCTCGGCGTGCGTGGACAGAGGCATCCCTGCCAGCGTCGCCCAACTGCGGACGTCGGAGAAGCACCGATCGCACAGCGTCGCCGAGTTGCGCGCCGCGCGGTTGACCTCCAGAAAGTACGAGCCCAGGTCCCTGCACAGGGCCGCGCGAGACCGATGAGCCTCGACTCGTCTTCGAGCTCGGGCGCGACGCTGCCGCGCGCTGGACAGCGCCAGGTCCGACGCCTCCAGAGGCCGCTCGACTGGCAGCACGCCCGCCCTCGACCACAGCGCCGGCCCCCTCGCAGTCGGAGGAGCTGCTGGAGTCGACGGAGCTCGCCGCAGAATGCCAGTTGCCAATGGCGCCGTCGGCGCCGGTAGGTTCGAGCGGCGGGGGGGGGCCGCCCACCAGCCGCCGCCGCCCGCGCCAGCTGCGCGCCCGCGCCCGAGCTCGTCGCGGGCAAGGACCCCGAGGGCAACTGCAAGGGCCCAACGCTGCTCGTCGGCCGAGCCCGAGCTCCTGCAGGCGTCGCGAGATGCCAGCCCCGCCGCCGCGCACCAAAGGCCCCTTGAGCCTGGATGGCCCGTCGGCGGGGTTGAACTCGCTGGGGGCCCAACGACTCATAAATTTTGCATCGCATGCAAGACTGAGCGCGCGCAGCTGACGAAGGTGGCGATCGATGCCAACATGCGTAGCTCCCCCCTTCCCCTGTGCCAGGATGAATCCAATATTGATACGAATGTTGACATGTCGATGATGGATGCGTTTATCTGAACGAAGTGCATGACGGGCTGCAATAACGATAGCCGCCCCCTCTGTAGACGCGATGGCCTCTGCGCGCCGCCAACGGCCCCTCGCGCGCAGCTGCCAACTGCTGACGTCGCCGATGATGCGCCGGTCGACGCGGCTGAAGGCGACGCCCAGGTCAATGTCCGCGAGGCCGTCGGCCCTGACGGGCGCCGTCGCTGCGGGGTCGGCAGCGGCTGCGAGCGCCGCTGCGTGAGCCTGCACTTCATCGGCCACTGCGAGCCGCCAGCGCTCCTGCTGCCGGCCCCAAGACCGAGCCTGCTCCGCGCCCGGGAACTTCCGCGCGACGCCAAAGCCCCCGTTGTCGACGAGGTTGGAACCCTCGGAGTCGGCGCCGGCGACGCAGCTGGACCAGGGCAGCCCGGCGTCAGCGTGGGCCAGCGGGAGCAGTGAGATCACCCGCTCGAGCTCGCGCCTAACGGATGGCCAGAGCGGCGCCCGTTCCAGGCCCGCCTTGTCCAAGCGGTAGCACGCGCGCGGCAGCGAGAGCAAACGCCGTCAGGGGATAGCCGACCAGGCGCAGCGCCCCAGCAGGGAATGCATCTCAGGCCCGCTCGCACGCCCCACCGCTATAACGCGCGACATGGCGAGCCTGACCTCCCAGCACCTCGCGCGGCCGACAGAGATGCGGCCCGTGGCGCGGCGCGGGTCCAAGCCCGCGAAGCGCGCGACGTCGGGCCCATGCTCGATCGTCTTGCAATCCAGCCCGTCGGCCTCCAGCTGCCTGAACTCCACGTCCGCCGCGACTGCAGCCCGCTTCTCGCCCGCGCCGGTGGTCGCCGCGTTGTCGACATAGACGGCGGCCGCAACCCTCGACTCTGTCACATCGGGAGCTGGCCTCTTGCCCCTGAAGAACTGAAAGGTGGGGGCGCCCACCTTCTGAACTGAGGCCGCCACCATCTGTCGGCCAAAGTGTAGCGCCCAAGACCGCCCGATGGCCATCACCTCGAGATGCGGGCTGATCCAATCGGCATCCGAGATATCAAATCCAGGTGCCAGTTGACGAGTCAGCCGACCAGAAACCCGAGGCAGCACAAAGTGGTCGGACACCGCAGGAGGCGCACGGATGCGGTAGAAAGCACGCTCCACATCCATCCGTGAGGACACCAGCTCGCCCTCCGGCTGCAGCTCCACGCTCGCCCACGCACCCGGCGTGGGAAGGACGGTGCGCTGCGCGACCTGGACTGGTGCGTCCACTAGCCTGGCATTCAGAATCGCACGTTGCTCGCCATTCTTCTCCCCGAAGAAAAATACGCCGACAGTTGAACCCTTGCGGGCCCGAAGAGAGCACAATCCAAGGGAATGTATATCGGCGATCAGCTTCGCGCGCATCACCGCAACCCTGATGAGGGCGGGGTCGGAATAAGGCTTCGCAGGTAGCCCGATGGAGTCAGACGGGCCCCGGTCGCCCCGCGCGAGCGCCTAGACGCGGCTGCCCCAGCGGCGCAAGGGGCCGCCCGTCAGAACCTCGGCGCCGTCGGCAACTCCGCCTCGAGAAAGCAAAGAGATCAGATCACACTGGAAAGCCAAGCGGGGATCAGCGTCATCGCATCGGGCTCGAGCGCCGCAGTGCTCTTTGAAGGCTTCCACGGCCGCGCATGGCGGGGATGGCGTCGCTCGAAAGACCCCTGCAAGATGCCGACGCGTCTCGCGCTGAGCTCGCGAGAGCCCCAAGGGAGACTGGCCCAGCCTGACGCCGCACAGGTCGCCGATACTCTCCACCGCAGAATTAACGGCAGCCTGCCAGCGAGATCCCACCTTCTACCGCCTCCTGACCGAACGCGACATGGAACTAGACTCAACCGAATTAGCCTGCGATACATCGCAGAACGGCACCGCCATCGGGAGGGGCTCTCTCGCGACGGGCCGGCGCCCTGATGCCGCGGGCCGGGCGGGCAAGCCGGCCCGCGAAGCAGTCGCGCCTCGGGCGCGGCGGCGGGGCCCGCCGTGGCCTCGTCGCCCCCGCCCTCAACCTTCGCCTTGGACTTCGGGTTAGCGGGGGCGCCCGTCAGCGAGCGCAGCGGGCCGGCACCTGCGACGACGGCAGCAGCGGCCGCCTGGCTGGGAACCAGGGCTGGAGACGAGCGAGCCAACTGCCGCTCCTCGCGGAGCTTGCGCCTCTCCTTGGCCACCGTGATCCCCCCGAGGAGCTCAGCGGCAACATGCTCTTCCAAGGCTGGGCGCAGTATGATCTGCCCCCTGGTCTCTCCCAAGCCGAGGTAGAGGGACTCGTCGCTGGCCAGATCGCCCCCGAATTCGTCGGGTCGCAAGAGCAAGTGGCGGCGCCTAAACTCAGCCAGCTGCGCCCTCCGAAGGACGAGCTCCGCAAACACGAGCTGGGGCGCACTCAACTGATCATGATTGAGCATGTACTCTAGACCCTTCATGGCCGTCTCATGGTCAGACGCACCTGGGTCACCACTCGTGAGCCGGCACGCGTGCTTCCACCACGCGTGCCTGGTTATTGGGCGACCGTTGGTCTGGACAATGAAGGTGATGCACCGCGTCACAGTGCGAGACCCCGTCAACGGCCAACTGTCCCACGCGCTCTCGGCGCAGCAAGCGATGGCCCCCTTCACATCCTTGTGGCGCTTGCCCAGCTTGTCACGCGAGATCTCAAGGATCCTGGCGCCCAGCTCAGGCGATGACACGGAGGCCGGCCCCGCACCGTCAACGAGCACGGCCAACTCTCCACTGCGGCTGACGAGCGCAACCCCAGGAGCACACAGGCACTTATCCTTACCGTCGGTGCCGAAGTCTGCGTCGCTGAGCCCGCTGCCAGACACGCGCTGCCACCCACCCGTAGCAGGCGGCAAATGACCAAGCCCAGGCGCCAGAGACACCCCCTTCACCAGGTCCAGCACCGCCTGCTCCTCAGGGCTGCGCTCTGGCAGCACTAGCGGAGGCTCCGCGGGCACGATGCCGAGGCCGGCCGCACCCTCAGCGCCAAGGGCTGGTGGACCTGCCTGACGACCCCAGAGACGGCGACGAGGACCACCGCCCTGGGCGACCTCGCCTAGGCAGGCTCGCAGCGCCTCCGCGAAGGCTGGAGGCGTCGGGAGCGGAGAAAATGCGTGCACCCGATTCAAGTGTGAGGTGCGGCCGATCGCTCAGGCTGGAACGAGGGCCCCGTCTGGGTATAGAACCCAGGGGGGGTAGCCGACCCTAGGCCCTACCCAGGGGCCTAGGGTAGCCTAGGGTAGGCCCTACCCAAGGCCCTAGGGTAGTCTACCCTAGGCCCTACCCAAGGCCCTAGGGTGGCCTAGGGTAGGCCCTACCCAAGGCCCTAGGGTAGACCTAGGGTAGGCCTTACCCAATGACCTAAGGTAGACCTAGGCATATAGAGCCCGGAGGGTAGGCCTACCCTATGCCTACCCCTAGGCCTACCCCCTAGGCCGACCCTAGGCCTACCCCCTACCCTACCTCCTAGGCCTGCCCTAGGCCTACCCCGTAGGCCTACCCCCTAGGTCTACCCCAGGCCTACCCCCTAGGCCTACCACTAGGCCTACCCTAGGCCTACCCCCTAGGCCTACCCCCTAGCCCTACCCTAGGCCTACCCCTAAGCCTACCCACCCCTAAGCCTACCCCCTAGGCCTACCCCTATAGGCCTGCCCGCCCGCCGGATCGAGCAGACGGACCAGAGCGGATCGGGTAGGATCGGGCAGGCATTAAAGTGTGGAGCATGTTCGCACTAGCACGCGTGAGCCCTAACGGGCGGGTCGGGTCGGGTCGGGCGGACCCAACGGGCGGGCCGGGTCGGGCGGGCGGGACATTAAAGTATGGTGCGTGTACACTTGACACGCGTGAACCCTCACGGGCGGGTCGGGTCGGGTCGGGCGGGCGGACCCTAACGGGCGGGTCGGGTCGGGTCGGGCGGACCCTAACGGGCGGGTCGGGTCGGGAGGGCTGGTGCGTGTACACTTGACGCGCGTGAACCCTAACGGGCGGGTCGGGTCGGGTCGGGCGGGCGGACCCTAACGGGCGGGCCGGGTCGGGTCGGGCGGACCCTAACGGGCGGGTCGGGTGGGGCGGGCGGGACATTGAAGTATGGTGCGTGTACACTTGACACGCGTGAACCCTAACGGGCGGGTCGGGTCGGGTCGGGCGGGCGGACCCTAACGGGCGGGTCGGGTCGGGCGGGCCCTAACGGGCGGGTCGGGTCGGGCGGGCGGGACATTAAAGTATGGTGCGTGTGCACTTGACACGCGTGAACCCTAACGGGCGGGTCGGGTCGGGTCGGGCGGGCGGACCCTAACGGGCGGGTCGGGTCGGGTCGGGCGGACCCTAACGGGCGGGTCGGGTCGGGCGGGCGGGACATTAAAGTATGGTGCGTGTGCACTTGACACGCGTGAACCCTACGGGCGGGTCGGGTCGGGTCGGGCGGGCGGACCCTAACGGGCGGGTCGGGTCGGGTCGGGCGGACCCTAACGGGCGGGTCGGGTCGGGCGGGCGGGACATTAAAGTATGGTGCGTGTACACTTGACACGCGTGAACCCTCGGGCGGGTCGGGTCGGGTCGGGCGGGCGGACCCTAACGGGCGGGTCGGGTCGGGCGGGCCCTAACGGGCGGGTCGGGTCGGGCGGGCGGGACATTAAAGTATGGTGCGTGTACACTTGACACGCGTGAACCCTCACGGGCGGGTCGGGTCGGGTCGGGCGGGCGGACCCTAACGGGCGGGTCGGGTCGGGGGCGGACCCTAACGGGCGGGTCGGGTCGGGCGGGCGGGACATTAAAGTATGGTGCGTGTGCACTTGACACGCGTGAACCCTAACGGGCGGGTCGGGTCGGGTCGGGCGGCGGACCCTAACGGGCGGGTCGGGTCGGGTCGGGCGGACCCTAACGGGCGGGTCGGGTCGGGCGGGCGGGACATTAAAGTATGGTGCGTGTACACGCACGCGTGAACCCTAACGGGCGGGTCGGGTCGGGTCGGGCGGGCGGACCCTAACGGGCGAGTCGGGTCGGGTCGGGCGGGCCCTAACGGGCGGGTCGGGTCGGGCGGGCGGGACATTAAAATATGGTGCGTGTACACTTGACACGCGTGAACCCTCACGGGCGGGTCGGGTCGGGTCGGGCGGGCGGACCCTAACGGGCGGGTCAGGCCGGGCGGACCCTAACGGGCGGGTCGGGTCGGGCGGGCCCTAACGGGCGGGTCGGGTCGGGCGGGGGGGACATTCAAGTATGGTGCGTGTGCACTTGGCACGCGTGAACCCTAACGGGCGGGTAGGCCTCGGGTAGGCCTAGGGGGTAGGCCTAGGGGGTAGGCCTCGGGTAGGCCTAGGGGGTAGGCCTAGGAGGTAGGCCTGGGGTAGGCCTAGGGGGTAGGCCTAGGGGTAGGCCTAGGGTAGGCCTAGGGGGTAGGCCTAGGGGTAGGCCTAGGGTAGGCGCAGGGGGTAGGCCTAGGGGTAGGGGGTAGGCCTAGGGGGTAGGCCTAGGGGGTAGGCTTAGGGTAGGCCTAGGGGGTAGGCCTAGGGGGTAGGCCTAGGGTAGGCCTAGGGGGTAGGCCTATGGGTAGGCCTAGGGGGTAGACCTAGGGTAGGCCTACGGGGTAGGCCTATGGGTAGGCCTAGGGTAGGCCTACCCCCCGGGTTCTATATGCCCGTCTGGCGTAGTTCCCACGATGCCCATCAGATTTGGGACTGTCAGCTTTTCGGGCTACACGTCGAATTCTGGAGTCATAATCCAATAGATCACTTCTGTGTTTGCGCAGTGATCGCCCGACATCACTCGACGGTAGACTTCGAGCGGACAGCAGCACATCGCGACGCGGCGATGCCACAGACGAGGCTCGCCGGAGTATCTCACGTGAACCTCGCGACCACCCAACAAGTACTGACCAGCGAGCGCCGCCGCCATTGCTACAGGCCTGGTAGATCAGTGCGAACCCTACACCGAGCACGACACCGAAGGCAGACTTGATACGGCCCTCGTAGGACTGAACTCTGGATCGTACACGTCAGCGCCTGCTCGGCCAGCGGCCGAAGCACTGGAGAGGCAAGGGACGCCACCCCCGCCACACTGGTGAGGATCCCCATAGATTTATGGCGCCGCCAGAAAAGCACTTGAACCGAGGAGGCGGCGGGCGAGTGGGAAGAGGAAAAGGGTATAGAGAACACGCTCAAAATAAAAGAATATTGGATATATCGTATCCGGAACGATCACAAAGTATGAATTAAAACTTTTGTTTGTGCAATGATTTGCGGTGAGAGATTTAGACGCACCAGGATGTATCACGATATGATGAACTATACTACACAATGAAGCGGTATACTCATATACACAGATTGTACAACTGCGGCTCTATATGAAAATTCCATATAATACGCTAAAATGAGAAAAACATAACTTCGCAAACCAAGATGCGAAGTAAGGTACTATATTATGACACATGATAGTATGATGTGGCACAACTAACATAAACCATATACCACATAACATAATAACTAGGTATGATACGCACTACCCTAACAGTGCACCATCTATTCAAACCTGCACATAATATGCTGATACATTGCTATGCACGATGGCGTATAAAAATGTAAAGTGTGAAGACGTGAAACGATTAAAGCGTAGAGCCAGGCACAGCGAAGAATCGGCTCCACTGTATTATTGCATGAGCTTAGAGGATATAGTACACTCCGTAACGGTATGATCAGTCTATTTGATATAGGATGTATCGGATCATAAAGCCGTGAAATCCAATTTCAACCATATGATATACCAGAATGGAGAACAATGAGCGATAATGAAAATGATGCCATACGCGTATGTATAGATATACACATACAAATGCAAGCGGTGCGGGATAGGTGGTGCAAGCTATGTGGTGCAATCTATGTGGCGTGACTCACCCGACAGAACACTGGCGGTTGGCAACTCCACTGCTCGCGCAATCATCCCACCCACCCACCCACAAGTTGGTTTGCAAAACCCACGCGGAAGCGATTGCGATGACTGCCTGGCGCTGGCGGGCACATCGTTGCGACTAGCGCGCGCAGGCTCGCGCGCAGAGGCCAGCTGGTCTGGCGCGTCCGACGCGGCCGCGGTGGCGCTGACCACTGGGCGCTTCCACGCTGACACGCGGGCACTTCAATGCGAGCCGGTGGCTCGGACGGGTGCGGTATCATGGCGACTTAAACAACAGCAGACACGATGATGATACTAGCGATGCTGGCGAAGATGATGACAATGACGACGGCAAGGCCAATGATGTTGCCGATGCCGATTGCACCGATAACGACGGTGGTGTCCACGCATCGGTGATGAAAGTTTTGGACGGAGTTCGACATGCGCGCGCGGCCGACGCGCGCGAGTGGCCCGCATTATATGATTTGACAGGGATCGTGCCCCCCACCACCACCCCGTACGCTCGCAGAGGCGTTCGAATGACTCCGACACGCGCGCGCGAAAGGCCCGTTTGGTCGCGTTTGGTGAAGAACTTGACAACTGTACAGGAGCGCGCGCATACTTTGGAACAAGCATGCTGCAAAACCTTAATTGTTTACATATGTTTCGGGACTGTCGGTTTTGAAATCCTCACGGACCATAAGGTTTTTGAAAGATTCCGGCACGCGCGCACGACAACGCGCGCGTGTGCATTTCGTCCCCTTTGTTCAAAAGCACGGGGTGTTCCCCCACATCCTGAGTGGGTTTTTGTTTCCTCTGCACACCTCCGCGCAGGACCCCCACACCTCACCCCCTCATCCTGTCATCAACATCCCATCAAGATCACCGATCATCACGATCACCCGCTTACTCTCTCGCTCATTCACTCATCGCCCGCTCACCGGAGTTCTTGCCATGGTCCCATCATGACCATCGGCAATAATCATCATCATCATCATCATCATCATCATCATCATCATCATCATCATCATCATCATCATCATCATCATCATCATCGTCATCATCATCATCAGCATCATCATCAGCATCATCATCATCAGCATGATTATCATCATCCGC